GAAATTCAAAAAAAGGTAAAACTATATCAAAGCTTATAAAAATGGCAAAACTATATCAAACACTTAGTAAAAATTTAATAAAACTAAAGGTTTAAATATTTAGCTAAATCTAAAATGAGTTTAGACAAGCAACCTTAATTCAGCCTATTTCCAATACTTTCTAAGAACTGATTGAGCTGTTATATTTCTCAGTACACTATTATCATTCCTATATTTTTTGTACTTTATTATAATCTTAGTGACTTAACATTTAAATTTAATGATATACATTAAGGACTTTGAATGATACAGTGATATGCCAAGAAGAAAGTAATATATTTTTTGTGCTGATATATTTCTCTCTATAATACTAATAATTTTTGAACTGAAGCGAATGAATTTTTATTCAAATTGCTCAGTAGTAAATGTCAATAAGTAGAATTATAAACAAATGATTAATAATGAGTCTGCTAATTTATTTCTCAAATTTGATTAGCTGGTATAATAAAATATGTTAATTATCATATATTCAAGGAGTGACAAATAAACATCACAATCCAAAAATATTCTAAATCCTTCAGGAACTTATAAAAATTGAAACAAAATCAGTAATAAATCATCTAAGCCTAAGTTTAATCCTAACTAATATCAATTATAATAACTAATCAGATAAATTAGTAAAACTGATTAATAACCTGCAACTTTTTTTGCTTCATTTATAATTTTGAAAAGGAATTTGTATTGGTAATAAAAGCTTTGACAAATTGAAGAATCAGTCAATTGTTAGATTCTTTTCAGTTAACTTATCTATCGATTCTCATTTTAAATTTAAATAAAAAATTTTAAAATTTTATTAATTTTTTATAAAATATATAATAAATACTATACTCTTTAGCTAGAATTGAGTTACATATCAACTAAAATTATCTTAAATCTGTTTTATGATACCATAAATAATTTTGACTTCACCTCTATCATATTATTTGTAAAGGATGCCTAAAAGGATAGTATCAATAGTAGTGTAATGTGTGACTAAAGATGAGAACTGTAATTAATATATTGCAACTTTTAATGTTGCAACATACGTTACAATTAGTTTTGACCTATATATGCTGCAACTTATAATGTTGCAATATATATTGCAACTAATTTTAGCTTATATTGCAACATGTTATAAATTTGAAATTAATTGCTGCACTATCTTTATGTGTAACTATAATATTCAAAAGGTGAATAGTCATACAGGGTTGGGAAGTACAATGTTAGTACAGATAATATATTATAATAATTAATATAAAAATTAGTATAAGTATAGTATAAGTACAGTGTTAAATTTATCTAGTACATACAAAATTCCCAACCCTGATCATAAGTTATAGGTAATTAATATTATATAGGTTTTCTTCTATTGTAATAGCTAGGTCATACTAGAGTTTAAGATTAGATTTGATTCTCAGGTTATTTGACAGTATAGCAAACTTATCTAATTTTAAATGACCTTAGAAAATTAGGACTTACTTGACTTCTCAATCCAGTAGTATTAGCTGAATAAATAATTGTATTAAGAATAAATACAAAGGGTATAAGCATAGAATATTATCTAATTATAATCTTATTTTCAGATGAAATATGGTTATACAAGTTATTGGTCATTACCTTCTGGCTTAAAATAGAGCAATGAGATAGAAGTCAAATGTGTGAACATTCAAGTCAGGTCAGTTGCTTTTAAAGAATTAAAAATTAAAACTTTCTCTGATAACATTTAAATTGACAGATACCAGATCTAGAAAATAATAAAAAAATCATTTGAATCCTTGAAATTAGACGAATCTAATAAGTTAATATACATTGAATATTGATTAGCCAATCATAAAATATTCGTGATTGATTTTAAAATTGGATTTCTTTAAGTAGAATTTATTGAATTATAATTTTGACTGATAATTTAATCATAATTATCTCAAAACTGGATGATATAAAATCAATGTATATTAGTTCATTGGATTTAAAAATTCAATGGTAGTTGTTTTATGAGAAATAGAGTGATATTGTCTGAGATCATACTCCTTTTATTTTTAGATATTTTAAATACTTTTTGTATAATAAAATTAATATTGATATGATTTACTGTAATTATATAAAGAGATATAATTAATATAATTATATAGGAGGCGATTTTCTTACATTTATTATAAAATAGGACTAAAATTGATATAATTATATTTTTATATATTATTGTGATTATAAAGGATGTATTTTCTTATTTAAAAAATTAGGATTGAACTATAATGTGAGATATAATTATATAGGAGGTGACTATAAAAGAAGTTGACTATATTACTATTGGTCATTCTTCTGTTATTCAAAAAAATTATTTATGAACCAATACTATTATATCAAAAATTCTAAATACAACTATTTCATTACTGCAGGTAAACTTAATGCCAAATTAGAAGAAAAAGATCCTAAACTTAAAATTAGTGAACTTATAGTATGTTGAGAATTTAAAAACTTTGAATATGTTTCTGTTATTCTAAGAAAAGTTCATCTCTTGATCCAAAAAGTAAAGGATATTAGATTGGTTTAATCATATGATCATTTGTGATATAACTAAAAAAAAGTTGTTTTTCTGAAATAACAATTAATAACAATCTAGATATTTAAAAATATCATTTATGTATGATTCTATAATGTATAACCATTTGCCTTTATGATAAAGCAACCATTTAAGATTTATATTTGAACAGCAATTAGCATTAAAGGAAAAGTTAGCATTCATTTGTTTACTAAAAATTTGAACTGTCATTTGTACTGAAACATTTTAAATGATTATTTGTATAATAATATGATGATGTTATTTAGCCACAATTGGGTCTTCTAATAAAACAATGATCAAAAATATGCTTTACAAAACATTCAGCATGTCTTGAAAAAATATCTTCTAATAAGAGTTCTTTCTTGGCTTTTATATAATCCAGACTTGAATCCTATTGAAGATGCAAATATTATTATATTATAAAATAGAATATTTTATATATATTATACTATTGTATTAAAATTAGAAATTCTTCTTGAATATCAAAACAAATTCTACAAATTGTTTTAATAATTAAAATTTGCATTTATTTTTAAACATTTATAAAATTGTATTTTTTGTAAATTTAATAAGTTTTTTATAAGATATTTGAATATTTGAAGATATTAGCAAAAAAAAACAAATCTTATAAAATTAGTTTGATGATTAAGCTTGCATCTTAAAGTCAGTTTCATGTGTTTATTTATTCTGTAAAAATTCAAAAGTTTAAAAATCCAAAAGTTTGTATTTTATCAAATTACTGAATAATATTCTTCTATTAATTTTAGATTTTATCCTATTATATTTCATAATAAAAATTGGCAAATATACTATCTCTAAAATGTTTTCCTATATTATTTTTAGTAATTTCTTATTTACTGTAATCTATTAAATTCAAATAAATAACAGTTTTATTTTTTATACTTATTATATAATCAATTAATTTTATTTAATTTTTTAATTTTTTTTATAGCATTTATATTAATAAATTAAATAATTATTAAATTACATAACAATTATATAGTATTTAGAATTTATATTTTTAGTATTTAAAAATTAAGCATCCTTATAATAAAAAAAAATATTGTAATTTTTTATAATAATAATTAGTTTTTTATTAAGAAGCAATTAGTAAAATATGAATATTAATAAATACTGATTAATTTACACTTAATCTCTTAATTCCGACCTGCATTATCGATAATCATCAACCGTGCCTTTTTTTGTCAATTGCGTCAGTATTTATAGTTTAAGTTTACAACTAGATCTTTAGTTTTACGATAATACGCGAAACTCTTTTTTTACAATTATACTTTACAAACTATACTTTCGCGTTTGAGTTTTTATTGTAACAGGTCCTTTCAACAAACGACGTAAATTATGTCGGATCTTGATACTATATCAATAATGATCGCAACTGATATACACTTGGGGTATCAGGAGCAAGATCCGATTCGTGGGACTGATAGTTTCAATACCTTCAAAGAAATTTTGCAACACGCAAGGGATAATAATGTGGATATGATATTACTAGGTGGTGATCTATTTCACGAAAATAAGCCTTCACTTTATACTTTAAACGAAACAATCAAATTGCTTCGCGAATTCACTGTTGGAGATAAAAAAGTTGATTTTAAAGTCACCAGTAATCAATTGAAAAACTTTGGAAGGCGAGTTAATTATTCGGATCCTAATGATAACATTGCATTGCCCGTGTTTTCTATACATGGTAATCACGATGACCCAACCGGTGCTAAACGTGTTGGTCCATTAGATTTACTTTCATCATCAGGCTTAATCAATTATTTCGGTAAAAACAATAAGGTGGACGATATTGAGGTTTACCCAATAACTATCGAAAAGGGATCAATAAAGATGAATATATTTGGGATTGGCAACGTGAGAGATGAGAGATTACACCGATCCTTCATTAATGATCAAGTAACTTGGTGTGAACCTGATAATATCAAAGATTATTTCAACTTGATGGTAATTCATCAAAATAGGGTACCTCATGGTCCTAAAAATTATATACCGGAAAATGTTCTTCCCGGTTTTTTGGATGTTGTATTTTGGGGTCATGAACACGATTGTAGAATTTTTCCTGAAACCAGTCCTCAGAAAAAGTTTGACGTCATTCAGCCCGGATCTCCGGTGGCTACAAGTTTGTGTGATGGAGAAGCTATCACAAAATATGTGGGAATTATGAAAATCTTTAGTAAACCACGTAATGAAAAAAAATACGAGATAATTCCTATACTTTTAAGCACTGTTAGACAAATGATAATTGATACAATTGACATAAGAAAAGAACTTGATGTCATTCCAGGTGATGACAAATCATTGGAACTTCGGTTGAAATCAAAGGTTAACGAAATGATTGAACTTGCACAGAATCAATGGATTGAAAATAATTCAGACAGTCTTGAAAACCCACCACTTCCTCTAATCAGGTTAAATGTGGAATTAAGTAGAGAATATAATCGTATACGTACTAGTTTTTTCGAACAAGATTATAGAAGTCGTATTGCTAATAATGATAGCAACGGTCAAAAGATCGTGACATATCATTTTAAAGAAGCTGAGAGGTCACAGGATCAAAACTTGATCGTTCCATTAGATTTCGGTGATGAAGAAATATCACAAAAGAATGCAACGTATTTTGTCATTGAGCAACTTGCTAAAAAGTTAAAGGAGAAACCATCTCAATTTTTCCCAGAAAATGGAATCTTAAACGCTATTGATCTCTATGTTAATAAAGATGATGAGCACGCTGTTAGAGATTTTTTTGAATCAACTAGGAAACATATGAAAAATCATTTGAAAGTTCAAGCCATACCAGAAAATTCATTTCCTGGGAATTCAGAAGTCAAGGACGTGATAAAGGTAGAAAAGGAGAGGCTGAACCAAGAATGGTCTACACAATTTAATCCGGAACAATATTTGGATAAGTCAAGAACAGAAAAAAATACAAGCTTTCCCAGTTTTCATCCAAGCACATCAGGTCGTGGACGTGCACGTGGTCGTGGTCGTGTACGTGGTCGGGGTCGTGGTCGCGGCATAGGTAGAGGACGTGATTCCAATACACATACTATTATTGAAGAGGAACCGGATGACATGGATTTAGATGGTGAAACAAGAATTACCAAACCCAGTGCTTCTAGAAAACGTGGTAGGGGAAGTCAACAAGTAACTGTTGATGAACAAGATGATTATGTTGAGGAAACATACGATCTACCTGGAAAGAGTAATGTTACTACCAGGAGCGGTACTGCTCGAACGCGTGGACAAGAAAGTGAACGTGAAGTAATAGTTATTGAAGATGAGCCGGAAAGTGAAGGCGATGAAGAATTTGATAATGAATATTCGAGAAGTGCATCATCAGCTAGAAGTGGCACGACTCGAGCTCGTGGACGAGGACGTGGACGTGGGCGAGGTCGTGGACGTGGACGTGGACGAACAGCCGCAGTGACGGAAGAAGAGCAAGAATTTGAGGATGACGTTGAATTTGATAATGAATTGTCAAATGGCCCTTCATCATATAGTAGTGGCATTACACGACCTCGTGGACGTGGACGAGCGGCCGCAATAATTGAAGAAGAACAAGAATTTGAGGATGACGACAACGAATTGTCAAGAGACGTTTCATCATATAGCAATACTCGAACTCGTGGGCGTGGACGTGGACGTGGGCGAGCGGCCGCAAAAATTAAAGAAGAACAAGAATTTGAGGATGACGACAACGAATTGTCAAGAGACGTTTCATCTTATAGCAATACTCGAACTCGTGGGCGTGGACGCGGACGTGGACGAGCAGCCGCAGCAATTGAAGAAGAACAAGAATTTGTTGATGATGACAACGAATTTT